AATAAATGAATAGGGCTGGGACTAGTGCAGAATGAAGGTCCTGGATATAATTCCCAGCAGTGAGAAGGGAGAGGGAGGGGCCGGGAGATAGCTCAGTAGAGTAAGTGCTTGGCAAGCACTGGGTCCTGAGTTCAATCCTCGGTACAAAAAAAAAAAAGGAAGAGGGCAAAAGGGGGAAGGGAGGGAATGTGGGCCAGGAGACAGTGGGAGCTCCTGAGTTCCATTCCCGAAACCCTCCCCCACAAGTTCAACTCGATCCCCAGGGCGCACTGAGACTGCGAATGAGACTGGGCATGGTGGCACGTGCCTGTAATCCCAGCACTGGGGAGGCTGTAAACAGGAGAATCACTCTGAGTCAGACCTAGTGAGACCCTGAACACCCTGTAGACCCTTCCCTAAAATTAAAAAAAAAAGAAAAAAGTACTGAGCAGAAGGGTGGCACCGATCCCACATTTTGCAGCGCTTTAGGGTCTAACCTCACAGGAGGCAGCTGTGTGCTCACGTCCGCTCTGTATTTACTCTCGCAGTCTGGCTTCCTGAACATTCGCCTCGTCCAGGTGCGTGTCTGGACAGGGAAGAGCCTGCAGAGTTCTCGGGCTACACTTCGGAGGGCATGTTGTGGCGGTTGCCTTTAATCCACACACAGATAGTGACAAAGGCGGACGGGAAAACACTGCAGCCGTCACAGATCAGGAGCAGGAGGACCCGCCGGGAGCAGCTAGGTCGCCTCTCTTGCCCTTAGGGAAGGGACAAGGCACTGTTTTGCAGTGCGACAGCCACAGCGTATTAGACAGAAGCTTCATTTCTGAGGTGCAAGCTTGGGTAAAAGGTACATGCCACGTAGCCGAGTGGGTGGCGGGGACCTCAGTTGCTGTCTTTAATCACCCAGCCTCTGAGCGCCTTTGCAGGCAAATCCCGAGCGAGCTGTGCAGACCGTTCTGCATAAACACCCAGGGCTTGGCAGATCAATCACATCCTCCTCCTCAGACTCCATCCGATCCTGAGCTGGTAGGTGGTTGAGGAATTACCTGTGGCAACAGAAGCAGCACCAGTGGGCCCCTTTTGTGGCAGTGACATGGGACGAAAGGCAGTGACACCAGAGCAGTCCTCACCAAATGTTCCTTCCAGCAGCACAAGGCCCCAGGATCACTGTGCCTGCTCAACCTGTCCCAGCCTCCCCACTCACCTGCAGCTGTGTGGTCCCACAGCTCCCAGTCAGCAGAGCCGGCCCACTCAGGCCTGTCTCCACCTACTGCTTCTTCCATCCTCCCTGGCTGGTAGTACTCAGCCTTTACCTCCCAAGGATCTGGCACGTGTGTGAGCAAAGCCTGGGGCTATAGCGCATTCCTAACATGTTGTAGGGGCAGCTGCAGGGGCTGCACTACTGTTTACCAAGGGCTCTAATCTCAGGGACTGCCCACCTGCCTCTGACACGGTGGAGGACCACCTGGGCAACTCTCCTGAAAGAAGGTCAGTTGTCTATTTTGGCTGTCTGCCCCTATTTCCATGTATTGATAGGTACAGAGCTGGCTAGGACTTTTCCTTATCCCTTGCACTGGCTTTAAGCAATGCGTATTGGTCTAGCCGAGGAGCTGGTGGTAGTCTTTGAAGACGGCACGCATGTTTCCCTGATAACCTCCACCTGCTGCTCTTTAATGTTAGGTTGAGACAGGATGCAAGAGCCTTGCTCCACATGTCAGCTGGGCTCAGCCTCAAGATAGAGGCTAGGGGCCAGGGAGATGGCTCAGTGGAACAAGTGCTTCCCTGGCAAGCGCAAGGGCCTGTGTTTAATCTCTGGTTCCACCAAAACAAAAACAAAAAAAAGATAGAGGCTATCATTTCCTGGGGTTTGAAAGATTACACATCAAAGCTGAAGCACTGGGCCCCAAGACATTATATACTATCTCAGCATAATGCAAATTACTTTTGCACATCCTTCCCTCTGCATGTTGCAGAGGTGGTTTCAGGCCTCCTGCCTAGCTCAGCTCACAGCACTCACCTACTTCCTGCCATTCTCAGTCATTCATCCTCAAGCCACTCCTCCTTCATGACTGAAAAAAAAAAACCAAGGTTCCACCCTGGGTCCTGGCCTTTGGTTTGGATAGCCATCACCATGGCTGCATTTAGGACCCCTTGACTCCCCATAACTATAAATATGCTTTAGGGTCTTTATTCTCACCGTGGGTTGTACTGTAAGTGGTAGATTGATGGGATTCCAATAATTTGTCCATGGGATTCCAATATAAACTTCCTGGACCCATATGAGGACCAAAAAGGGTTCCCTACATGACACTAACAAACAGATGCCTTCTGGTGGCAACAACTTAGGAATCTAGACTAAGTTTTAAATGGGAAATGTTTGTTAAAATGGGAAGGAAATCAGCTAGTCAGCCACGAACTCTGAGCTTCCAATGACCTTCTAGCATATTCCATGGGCCAACAGCCACCCCTGCGGGTGGAGGTGTTTCTAGGGCATGTACTACCTCACCTTCAAGTCATGGGATCCACCTGGAGCAGCAGCAGACTGGACATCTGTCACGTGGCTGGGATGCTGCACTCGCAGGCTCTGGCCTGGCCTCCTCGTATTTCCACCATTACATTGAAACACGGCACAGGCAGAGGTGCCCAGAGTACAGTTGTGCTGTGGAGCCCGGCCTGGGTGTGACCCCCCAGTCAACCTGTGGGCAATGAGAATGCATACCTGTAGGCCAGTGAGATTTCTGAGGTCGTTTAGCAGCAAAAGCTGGTTGTTCCATCATTCTGCAGGAGAAACTAGTGACAGGGCTGACAAATATTAAACACTGTGGAGTCAGTGATGAGCAGCAACTACTAAGCCCGCAGGCCCAGCTGGGGTTGTATCAACTTCAAAGATCAGCTAGTTGTTTCACAACTGTTACCCATACTGTTCTTACCTAACAGCTTTGAGGTAAGCCAGGCTTCCTAGGGGTAGCCTATGTGGGTAGGGACACTTTGGATTTCCACTGACACCAGCGGAGGAGGCAAGATGGGGGACTCACTCGAGATACCAACATATCCCTTCTGTGACGCTGCAGCCCCAAGGTGCTGGTGATACCTGCTACCCCCAAATCTGCTTGGCACCTCCTCTAGCAAATCTGTTTCTCCACCCCTACATCTTCCTGATGCTTTCAGGTACTTTGGGAGCAGAGAGGAAGGTAGGGGGCACTGGACTGAAAATCAAGTCAGGCCTGAAGTTCTGAATGCAGGTCACCCTGAGGCCAGCTGTACCTTCCACGCAGTTTCTGCTGTCTCTGCCCATTCTTCCCACTGCGCAGTCCATGGGCAGGTCTGTACCACTCCCCGCTGTCCCTGCATCGCGTGGCACCGGGCCAGCTCAGAGAAGGTCCTCAATAGTCAGACTAAGAAAGAATGAGTGAATCCAGTTCTTCAAATGGTACCACCGCTGCTCAGGACTGCTGCCCACTCTGCCAGCTGTGCAAACCCACAGTATGCCCATGTGGGGGGCACTCAGCTCAGCCAGCCAGCCACTCTGCGCTGTGGCAGCCTCGGGCAAGCAGGCACTCAGGTCCCTGGAGCTGGCTTTCATTGTTGCTAGCATCTGTTACCAGCATGTGTATGAAGTATGTCACTTCTAAACATTTTTTAAATGAGACAAAAATAGTGAATTTGGGTTTCTCAAATGAAACAGGTCTCACGGCCTGGGCAGAGTATAGTCATGTACTTACTGCACAGAACTCACTTTAAATAATCTTTAATAAACTGTCAACACCAACAGTTCTCAGCAGTCTCCTCCAGAAGCATCAGTACCGCTTTACACTTTAACCTCCTTCTGAAAGCATTTCTTTCCTCTGCTCAGAACAGTACTCTCGCAGAATCGGGCTTCTGCCCTCTGGTTCCCTGGTATCCATCCCACCAGGACCTAAAGACACATCGTACTTATCTAAAAAGGTAACCCAAACTATGGCTTCCCTGTGGTTGACAAACCCCACAGTTTGGACCTTAAAATAAGATATCTTGTCAGCTACTTTTGGTTAAGGTCATTCCATCTAGCTTTCCAATAAGTAAAGCTTACTTCTGAAAAAACAATATTCAAAGATCCTAAGAAATGGACAAAACATCTGTTGCTTATCTTGGTTGTTTCCCAAGAGATGTTGACACCCCTGGAGAAAACCGATAAATAACAATTGAATCAGAATCTGGTTCCACACAGCAGCGTGTTACCCACTCCCAAAGGGTGGTGGCGCTTGCCTACAAAGGTACTGAGACACGCTGTAGAGCTGTACAGACCCGTTACCGGGTATCTGAATACTCAGATCCATGGGATTTCCAATCGCTAATTTGTGCCTACTACTTAGATCAGACCCCACAAGAGGTACATATTAACATTTTATGCACTCTGAGGACACCTGCAATAAACACGTATCTTCACATAGAAACGTAAAAAAATAACATAATACTTTGTACTGCAAAGAACTGGAATTCAACATAGTACACTGCTAAAATGTTCATATAAATATTACATGTGCACAGATTCACATCATTAGAAAAATTCATCTATCAGAATATTAAAGACAGTTAAACACCCAAAGCAATGCCCAAAGAAAAACTACTTTAACAGTAGGAACCCTAGAAATAACTATGAGGCTTATAAACCAGTGGTGGGAAAAGAGAATTCTGTAGATCTGTTACTATATCAGAACAGGAACAATCTCAAATACAATTTCAGACTAGCAGTGTATAAAAATATTTTTAAACAATATGTTTGATAGTGTAGTAGACCCTTAAAATAAAAACGAAACAATTGTGTAGCTACTCCTTTTGAGGACCTACTAAAACAATTCCTCTTGCTGCCCCTGGCTAGCTCTTCAACACCGTGGAGAGCAAAAAGGAGTTCTCTCGTCCCCATACACACCACACACAAAGCCACAGACCCAAGCCACCTCTGCATCTATGATGCACAACAAGTCACTTGACATCATCTCAAATCCTGAAACGGTGTTTGGAGCCTGTTTGCCGGTTTGGGATGCATAAAGTGGGAAAAACAAGGTGGAGTTGGTGTAAGAGGTTGTTTCTATCTCACCAAAGGCCCAGCGAGGAAGGCAGTTTAGTCTGGCATATCGATATTTAACTTGGGAGGTGGGGGAACATACTTCCCAGGGCTCTGTGTTACAACTACCCTGGCTTTCTTGCCAAACATTGGAGGAATTTTTGGGGCTTCTGCCCCAGATGTTTCTTCAGCATCTTCACTGTCTTCATGATGAAGATCGTAAGAAATGTTCCCATATTCTCTTAAAAATGGGAAAATTTCAAGCAGAAACTGACAGAAATCTCTGCGAATACCAAACCACCAATGATTTCCTCCTTTTCGTCTAAACGTTGTGGCCATCAAAGTTACTAATGACAGCCAAAGGGGGACAAATATGGAGATGTAAGAGAACGTATTGTGGCTGTCCAATCTGTGAACCAGCAGGACCTCGAAAGTGAGCAGGGGCACGACAATCGCGATCCAGCTGATGGCCATGGTCACGTGTGTTCTCCGTTGCTCTGCAACCACATCCAAGGACCTCAGAAACAGGAGGGACCAGACGATGTAATAGAGGACAACCAGGCAAAGGAAGGACATGAGGATCCACAGGGGCACGAACACCACCAGCCACGGCCAGTGGATAATCCTGTCCAGCCTCAGGGCGATGAAGATGAACTGCAGGATATTGACGGAGCACAGGATCTCCAGCTCTAGCGACCTGTCATGTCGAAAGCCCCACACGCAAGCGGCCACGGACACCGGGGAAACGAAGAAGAGCGGCATGAAGACCAGCAGCCAGAAGTGGGTGCCCCTCTCCACGCGGTCACAGACCAGGACTTCGAACATGAGCAGCAGCAAGTGGATGCCCACGGCGATCAGCATGGCTTTGAACTCCACGCCGGCCTCCCCCTCGGTGCGGTAGCGAGGGTTGCGAGCCCAAACGCCCGCACCCACCGAGGCCCCCGCGACCACCAGGAGCTTCCACAGCCATATGGGGGCGAAGACGGCCCAGTAGCTCCACTGGATGACGCCGTCCAGGCGGAGGGGCAGCAGCACCGAGAAGAGCAGGAGGCAGGCGTAGATGAGGAACTTACTCGGGTTGAAGTCCTGGAACAGCCCCCTGGGGTTCATGGCGTAGCTCCGCCCGCCTGCC